ATTAAATTTGTAACCGCAATGGAAACGTATTAGTTTTGTAAGAATATTGGGGTGAATTGGAATTTTTCCTCTTCTTTGTAAGTTTATTGAGGGATTTATTTTCTTCTTTTTCTTCTTTTTACGTTTAGTGGATTGGAAAGTGTATTTTGTTTGCCCCTTTTTCTTATTTTTAAGTTTAGTAAGGGATATTTTTCTCAGAATTTAAAGAGTGGAGAACCTAAATGGATTGTTGCCTGTTGGCTTTCTATATTAGTATAGATATATGTTCTAGTTATATTTTCAAATCTTTAAATTCATATGAATCATAGCTTGACTTGATATGAACTTATTAAAATTTGTCGACAAACTCAGAACGAGAATTTAAAAGCTCATGTTTAGTTTCATTGCGACCTTTTATCTTCTGTTTAAAATGTTCAATTATGTTTTATGTTTCCCTGCCCCATCTACTGACTATATGTTTTTGCTTTTGCAATTTTCAGGTGAAGGCTCTTTATGTTAAAAACATACCTGAGAACACTAGCACTGAAAAGCTGAAGGAACTATTTCAGCGCCATGGTGAAGTAACAAAAGTGGTTATGCCACCTGGAAAAGGTGGCCAAGGAAAACGGGATTTTGGATTCGTCCATTTTGCTGAAAGGTCAAGTGCTCTGAAGGCCGTCAAAGATACTGAGAAATATGAAATTGATGGTATGTATTTTGCATCTCATCAGGAGCTTTTTGAGAATTTAAGATCCATTGAGATACACCTCTCTTTTAGAAGTTGTTTTTACTGATTTTAGTTTGATGGAACGGGACTTATTCATCTTTTAACATACATGCAGCTTGTTCTAAGTTAAGCATATACAGTTGAGGGTCAATTTTCAGTGCCCTGATTTTTGAAATCCTCAACTAAAGAAATTAGTGAATGAAACCAAAATAATAGTGAAAATTCTGTCAGTTGGTTTGTGCCTCTAAAATCAAGTACATGGAAGATTGATTTTGTTTAAGCTTATTTTGTTTTTCTTTGGGTAGATTATGGGCCTAAGGCCCAAACACAAGGAAAATGACTACAAGGGGCACAAATAGCCCCAGGCCTGCAGACAAAAATAATAGCTTCGAAAGCGATAAGAATCATGTCTGTAGGGGCGGCACTCTGAATTCTATAACCGAAATTCCAAAGCTGGCAAGCGGCGAGCCATTCTGTGGCACAACTATTTTCTCTGTGGATAGGTGAAATGAGGCAATTAAATCAAATCATATAGAGTTCTGTTTCAAAATGTTTTAAGATTTGGAGTTCTGTTTCAAGATTCAGTATGTAGAATGCAATGCTACATGATTTGGGTATAGACATCAAATAATAGATGGCTGCTGGAATGTACTTAAAAAAAATTACGGTCTATTCTTTTCATCATTGTGATATAAAGTTGTTGCAATTAAGTCAGATATCAAACTTAGATTTCTATTATTTATACTGTAACCCGACATGTTAGAACATAGAAAAATGGTGGTGGCCTTATGAACTTGATTGTAAATTTTTTGAAATAACAGCTTCTGCGGGACATATCATGGTTATTGTCACAGGGCAAGTTCCTCTTTACATTGAAATGTTTCTGCTGTTGTGTAAAGCTACTTAATTTGAATATTAATCAATGGGGAGGATGGTTTTTTCTATTACATATTTCTTTATCTGATTTTGTATAATATTTTGAGTTGGTCGATAGACACTGATCTGAAACTTCCTTTTTTTTTTTTTTTTTTTGAGCTCATAGTGTCTCCAAAAATAATTCGTCCATCGATTTTTTTACAGGTCAGCCACTGGAGGTTGTCCTTGCAAAGCCTCAAACTGAGAAAAAATCTGATGGGGCTTATCCCTACAATGCTGGCCCTCATGCAAACCACCTTCCACACCCAGGTTATGGTGGTGGTTTTGCTGGAAATCCATATGGCTCTGTAGGGGCTGGATATAGTGTTCCTGCGGGTTTTCAGCAGGTAGATCACCGAATTTATATTGTTCCTCTTTGTCTTGGTATGAATCCTGTATCAGAGTAATGTCTTATAACGGATTCCATTCATGAACAGCCAATGATATATGGTAGAGGGCCAATGCCTGCAG